TAGAAAAGTTATGGCAATATCCATTATATTAGTCATTTCACGTGTTGCACGTGCACGCTCTTGCAAGCACGTGCGCGCAAAATGACCTTGATTCCGCAAATCTACATAACATGTCTACTGACCCTAAAAAGGTTTTACCTACATCGGACGAACAGTTTACAAGATCACTCCCGGACAAAAAAGTACCCAGGAAGAAGAAGAAGAAGAAGAAGAAAAATAATAATAACTAGTGCTAATTGTAACGGGGACCGTTACAGATGTTCCCCAAACGCTCCCCAACTCCCTTTTGGTGCCATATTCCCTGTAAGCTTCATTAAATAGGACAAAATCTATGCATTTGAGACTTTAACAACGCCAAGTTCATTCAAATTTTAGCATTGCAAGCGTGCGCATAAGAATGCATGTGCGTAATGACCATATCATCTTGTCTACACAATCTTTATATTTTTAATATACTAAATATTAAAGTATTTAATCCAAAAGTATTAAAAAATACGCTCATTCAAGTGTATTTTTGATTTATCTCATTTCATGTGCTCGCATGTGCATACATATGAGCATGGTGACCATATCTTCTTGTAGAAGTCCTTTACATCTATCTATGTTCTAAATCCCACCCCGTTTGATTGAAAACAAAGGGAAATATAGCTGTTTAAAGTTTCAGCCAATCAGATTACAGCGCACGTACACGCACGTGTATGCATGTGCATGGTGACCATACCGTCTTGTAGAAGTTCATTATATCTATCTATGTTCCAAATTCCATCCTGTTTGGTTGAAAACCAAGGGAGTTATAACTATTTAAAGTTTCAGCCAATCAGATTGCAGTGCACGTGCATGCACGTGTTTTCATGATAATTGCTATATATCATGTTGTAGGATATCTTAATGCATGGCTATGTTCAAAAGTTCATAGGATTTCGTCGGAAAACAAGAAAGATATAGAGACTTAAGTTTCAGCCAATCAGAGCGAAGCGCACGTGCATGCTCGTGAGATCTTGCTTTTTTGATCATGTCATCTTGTCTACCATACTTATATATCCTTACATTATAAATTTCAAAAGATTTCATCAAAAAATAGAAAAGTTACGGCTATATCCATTATATTAGTCATTTCACGTGTTGCACGTGCGCGCTCTTGCAAGCACGTGCGCGCAAAATGGCATGTTGACAATGTCATCTTAACTAGAATTATAATATGTCTATATATTCTAAATATTAAAGCATTACATCAAAAAATGTAAAAGTTACGGCAATTTCAAGGATATTGGTCATTTAACGTGTTGCACGTGCGCGCTCTTGCAAGCACGTGCGCGCAAAATGACCTTCGTTCCGCAAATCTACATAACATGCCTACTTATCCTAAAAAGGTTTCCCCTTAATCGGATGTGTACTTTACAAGATCATTCGCGGACAAAATTTTCCCAAGAAGAAAAATAATAATAGTAAGAAACAGAGTAAAAACAATATGTTCCCCAACTTCGTTTGGGGAACATAATAAGAAACAGAGTAAAAACAATATGTTCCCCAACTTCGTTTGGGGAACATAATAAGAAACAGAGTAAAAACAATATGTTCCCCAACTTCGTTTGGGGAACATAACTAGATACGATCTCGTTGCGAGCAACGAGGGGTCTTCCGTCCGATTCTGAAGTAAAAAACGAAAAATCTAACAGAAAAAGTGATAAAAAAAAATTCGGACATTCGGGGGAGCGAACCCGGGTCGCCCGCGTGACAATCCGACGCACTAACCATTCAGCCATTGAAAACACCGCTTCAAATTTTTAAATACGAAAATCTCGAGATTACCTTTTTTAATTCTAAAACAAATTACATATTTTGCATTCGCAAAAGAGTCACTATTAAGAGATCTAATATAAAAGAAAAATATTGGAAAAGAAAAAAGTTGAAAAATTGCGGTTTTTTAAATTCGCTTCCGGTGTCGACCGGAAGCACTGACGGAAGATTTGAAAGTTTGGTGCAAAACTACAACATGTCATCTATTAGTCCTGAAAATGACAACATTCTAGCTTTTGTTGTTTTTGAGTTTTTGTGTCGACAAAATGGTCACTAAAAATTCGATTAAAGGTCGATAACTCCCGACCGGAAGTGATTTTTCAAAAATTAAAAAAAACGAATCAAGTTCAGATCATGATACATCATCTCTGAAAATTTTAAAGAAATCCGTCCACGCATCTCTGAGAAATCTTCTGCACAAAAATTGTAAGAAAAAAAAAAGGAAGAATAATAATAAAAGTGAAAAAGAAACAATAGAATAATAGAAGGGTCTTCCGTTGGAGACGGAAGACCCTAATAATAATAATAATAATAATAAGAAACAGAGTAAAAACAATATGTTCCCCAACTTCGTTTGGGGAACATAATTAAGTACGATTAATACTGTTGTTTCATGTATACAGTCATGTAGTTTATTCAACAGAGGATTGAACTCAATATATAGCCCTCTTATAGCTCTTATAACCATTTTAGGATATTAATGACACTTCTTAATTGACTTTCTACAGCTTGAGTATTTCTGACGTTTTGTCAGTATATACTTGTTTTTTTTTTCTTTTAAAGGGACGACATAAAGGTGCTACCTGCAATCTAGCTGTAAAAAAGTATTTACAATGCCTACATAAAAAGGTCCAGTGATCTTGATAGGTGGTTGGTATTTCTCTAAATTGCATAAAATTTTAAAGATTAGAGAGTTTATGTAATTTTGTGAACAACCTTCATCAATACATTTTAGGATAATGAACTTTTTTTGCTAATTTTAACGGAGAGACAGTCGTTTCCGATGCCTAGATTCTTCAAAACCGTCGCTGTTTGATTGAAACTGGTTTCAAAATTTAATTTCTCTACCTCATCTTGTTTTCCTTGATTTGCAGATAAATCATTTCCTGTGCGATTTCTTTTTTCTATTGCCTCACAATCTGCACTACCACTGTAATCTTTGAACTCTATCTACAATTCAAATAAAATACACGCATTAATGTCATACGCATTGATAGATAGTCCGGTCACAAATTTGAATTTGACATCTATGTGAGACTTGATTTAATCTTTAAAAATTTATAATTTAATCGAAGAATTTAGTCCAAACAATAGATGTTTCTACCTGAGAACCCGCCGGTACGAATCAAACGGATAACAGTGATGTACTGTTTATATTTACATGTACATTGTGTAAATACCTGTGTACTGCGCAGCTGAAAGATTTTCACTGGATAGCGAACTATAATGTTGAACTCTTTGCTCAGTGACAAGAAGGGATGACGACACACTAGTCTTGAACACATATGTTCCATTGAAATAGGAGATAACAGACTGAAACCATGCTCAACAAGATGTGTTTGTGAAACACTGATGCCCCCGTATGGCAACGTAGCGAAGATTCTTTTCTTACATGCAAATCTATTATATTGGTACCCAAAGTAGGGTATTTTCACTGAAAATACAATTGTGAAATAAGAAAGTGGACCAAGATTAAAGTTTTTTTCATAAGTACAGAAATCACCGAGGTCAAAAGGTCAAGATTATTAGTATCCAATGAAATATCTTGCATACTAGCATCACATACTAGTATTTGAAGTATGGAAGCCCTTATCCCTAACCGTTCAAAGCTATTGTCAAGCTGAATTTTTTTTAAAAAGTATGCAAAACTCCAAGGTCAAGGTCAAAGTTCTTGATATCAAATGAAATGTCTTGTCACAAGGATTAAATATGTAAGAATGAAAGCACTATCCTTAACCCTTTAAAATCATGGTCAAGGTTGCTTTATAAGAGTAGGTCAAACTGGAAGGTCATGGTCGAAGGGTCAAAGTTCTTGGTATCCAATAAAGGGTCTTCTCACAAGAATTACATATGTGAAGCATGAATGCACTAAGCCATTACCGTTCAAAAGTTATGACCAAGGTTAGAGTTTTTTCATAAGTAGGGAAATCGTCAAAGTCAAAGTTGTTGGTTTCCAATAAAATGTCTTTCAACATTATATAAATATATATATTAAGAATTAAAGCCCTGCAGGCATGTTCATGAAGCTATCTTAGGGCCACAGTGTGTGTCCTAAGAACGTCTTAGGAAATGTCATAATCTTAATTCAGTTTCTCGAAGTTTTCCTAAATTAAGAGACTTGCCTTAGTTTTCCTAACTTTTGAACAACACAAAGCTTGTCCTAAGAGCATCCTAAGTTTGTTGTGATGCTTTTGATTTTGAACATTGCAAGTATTAGCGACAATTTCTTGTTTCTCAGCAGTCCGTGTATGAGCTATTAATTTACACAAATAATTAAAAAGAAAATGTTACAAAAAGGCTTCTTCTTTGCAAAATATATTACAATTTTCGATAGTTTTAATATAGAGATGATATTAATATTTTCTACTTTATGGAGAAGCACCTGAATATTGAACTTGAAAATTTAATTTTTTTTAAAATTACGTTTTACCCTTTTTCAAGTTAAGAAGGGTAAATTGAATATATTAATCAATACGGAACTTTCGAGTTACGGATCCGCTTCGGATATTATCGCTCACCAGACGTAATTGTAGGGCATAGTTCACTTCCGCATTCCAACGCAACGGTGTAAACAAATATGGAAGACTTCAATAGTTATCAAGTCCCAGCGTTAAAACATTACTTAAGTACGAAAGGCATAACAACATCCATGTACAGAAAAGCTCATTTGATAAAACTGTGTTAACTGGCAAGAGAAATAGACCTAGAAGATGTAGAAACTAAAGATGATTATGTGGATATGGATGTTCGTCGTAGAACGGTCGGAGACCGCATCTTGCCCAGCATAAGCGAGGTACATTTTAAGTCAGTTTTTTTATGGGGAAAATCATATTTATCTCAAATTTATATCATATACAACAATAAGTAAATTAAATAAATATAAAGTTACAGCAAATGAGAGGGTAAGACAGGCATGAACCTTGCCAACATCAAATATATGTAATGAGATTTTATTATATAATATCCAGAATTTTATTTGGAGTATTACAACATTTTCAGGTTAAATTATGTGATTGGAATGGAGATGTAAAGAATGTTCGAGATATAGACATTGCCGATGTTTTTGTGCATTTGATTAACATTGGTTGGGATCAAAATCGCCTTCATTCCTACAAAGAAGACAAGGGCTATTTATTATATCAGAACAATCATGTTGACAGTGTTCGAGTGTGCTTATTGGATTCAGAATATTCTTATATTATGTGTAACACAATGCCAGAAACCCGTCAATCTGAGTACCCGTATAGGACATGGCTACTGGTAAAGGCTGATGGCTATATCATATCAGGTGGCTGCTTCTGTGTTGCGTAAGTCCAGTTTTGTGCTTTACTACATGTAATTACAGTCATAGTATTTATGATTTACATTATATCAATCCCTAAATTCGAGCAATTATTAACATGCTACTTTTTGTCTTTTTAGGGATGATGGTTCTTGCAAGCACTGCACAGCCCTGTCATTTGCTCTTGCAGCTTTTTGCGACCGCCATAAGGACAGGCATACCGAGGTGGGGACCGATGTGAAGTGTGTTTGGGACAAGCCCCGTAAGGAAAGCAAGCCTTGTCGCGTTAAGGAAATTTGCATCTCCCACAGGAAAGTTCCACTCATCCCAAACAAAGAGGACTACCAGCCGTGCCCTACTCTCACCAGTGACATTAACAGAGAAGTCGAAAAAGAACTGTATACAATGTGTCAAGGTACGGGTGCTCTTCTATTACACACATTAGACCCCCATTCAGATGAGGAGGAAGATCATCATGAAGATCCGCCTGATATGATAGCTGCTTTGACACACACAATTCAGACTGGAGAATCCTTGATAGGTTATTTAAGAAATGTGTATAACTCTGATATTATTCAGGAAGTTGAGCAGATCACTTGTGGTCAAAGTGAAAATGAATTATGGTACAAATACAATTATGGTAGAATAACATCTTCCTTGTTTTCAAAAGTATGCCATTTTAGAGGGGGGGGGGTCATGATAATTACATCACACGTGAAATTCTAAATGATAACCCCAATGCCTTAAACACAGATGCAGTAAGGTATGGAAGACAGAATGAAATTGTAGCTAAACAATTGTTTTTTGACATGTATGCTCGTGATCATGTAAATGCAAAAATGAGACCTTGTGGCTTAAACATATCTCAGCAACATCCATTTTTAGGTGCATCACCAGATGCATATTTGTCATGCAAATGTTGTGGGAAAGGTTTAATTGAGGTAAAATGCTCCTACTCCCACAGAAATGAAACACCGTATGATGTTGCAGGTGACCGTCATTATTATTTATATAGAGACACTAATGATGTTGTCAAACTTAGAGCAGATTCACCATGGTATGTGCAGATTCAAGGAAAGCTTGGTATTTGTAATGCTAGGTTGTGTGACTTTGTTTTTTATACAGACATGGGTTTTATCAGTGATAGAATTTATTTTGATGAATCTTTCTTCAATGAAATTGTTAACAAGCGCAGCACCTTTTTCACAAATTATGTTCATCCTGCACTGCTTGCTAAAATGTAGAATATAAATTCTCTGCTGTAATTTGATGCCCTGTACTAGATTACATTGCATCTTGTATGATACACTGTATTGTGTTTTGTCTAATGATTGAAATTAAGACATCTGAATAGCAATAAGAACCACTCACTCATACTTCTATGTTGTTGACTTGTATTACATGAATATGAAAATGAAATTCAGTTAAATATTTTATGTATAAAATTGAACATTGTTAAATCAACAATAATAAAACAGTAAATGTAAAAACAACAACTTCTATATTTTTTAGGTAACACCAAAAATCAAATTAACAAATTAAAAAATGTCAAATATGAAGCATCTTGTTAATTTTTCACAAGAGGTTTTGACAAATTGCATAGAAATGCAGCAACAACAAGAATCTGGCTTGCAATTGGCTTTAAGTTGATTGGTAAAATGCCAGATAACAGTTTATATGATTTCAAACGTTGTATAGCACGTTCCACATGAATCCGTAGTTTCGCTTTCTGTCTTGTTCGCCGAATCTCACTCGCATTTAACCGTTTTCCTTTTCTCCATCCACATTTATGTGTAAATGGTGGTATGACCAACTTTGCCTTTCGCTCCAATAGATAGTCTCTGATGATGAAACCCCGATCAGCCATCACCTCATCTCCAGCAGATATCAAATCCAAGAAATCACTATTGGCTGTAATGTACCTGTCAGACACATTGCCACCCCCACAATTCAGATACATAAGAAAACGCACCGGTAGGAGTTATACCAACAAGGCATTTAAACGTATTATGTCCTTTGTAATTGCTGTACGTTTGGCTTTGAGCAGTAGGTGTCCTTGGCTTTTGAATGAGTATTTCAGTACAGACTATGACGACTCTTGTACGAGGAAATGTCTGTTTGAAAGACCTTGGCATATGTTTCCTGATGCTTTGTAGTGATGGCCATTTCAGTTGAGGTTTAAAAACCTGGAACATGTAGTTTATCCATGTACACACTATTTTGATACTCGTGTCTCTGATACACCAAACAAATCACCAATCAAAAAGGAGGGAACAGAAAGTCTTAGTCTGAGAAGTGTTAATAAAAGCTCATGGAACCTTGCCAACTTCCTCTTTGGACCTGGTTTTCTGATTTCAGAGGTTTCGTAATTATGTTCCCCAAACGAAGTTGGGGAACATATTGTTTTTACTCTGTTTCTTCTTCTTCTTCTTATTATTATTATTTTTCTTCTTCCTGGGAAAATCTTTTCCGCGAATGATCTTGTAAACTACACGTCCGACTTAGGTGAAACCTTTTTAGGGTCAGTAGGCATGTTATGTAGATTTGCCGAACAAAGGTCATTTTGCGCGCACGTGCAACGCGTGAAATGGCCAAAATAATAGATACAGCCGTAACTTTTCTATCTTTTGATTATATGCTTTCATACTCATAATATAAGTATATATTAGTAGTATAGACGTCTTGACATGGTCAAAATAGCAAGATTTCACGCGCATGCACGTGCGCTTCGCTCTGATTGGCTGGAACTAAAGTCTCAATATCTTTCTTGTTTTTCGTCATAATCCTTTGAAATTTTGAACTTAGTCACACATTATGAAGATCTACAGCATGATATATAATAATTTTCATGAAAGCACGTACATGCGCATGTGCTGGCAAGAGCGCGCACGTGCAACATGTGAAATTACCAAGATAATGGATGAAGCCGTAACTTTCATATTTCTTAATGGAATTTTTTGAAACTCACAATGCATGAATAAAATAGTAGTATGGACAAGATGACATGGTCAAAATTGCAAGATCGTATGCGCATGCACGTGCATTTTGCTCTGATTGGCTGAAACTAAAGTCTCAATATCTTTCTTGTTTTACGTCATAATCCTCTGAAATTTTGAACTTAGTCACATATTATGAAGATCTACAGCATGATATATAAGAATTATCATGAAAGCACGTAAATCCACGTGTGCTGCAATCTGATTGGCTGAAACTTTACATGCCTATATCTTTCTTGTTTCTCAACAAAACAGGATGAAGTTTAGAATATGAATAGCTATTATGGATTCCTACATGATATTGCTATCAAAATTGAATGCAAGGACGTGCTTGCATGCACATGCGCACACGCAATGCGTAAAATGAACAATACGTTTGAAAAACGGTAACATTTATATTTTTATGACTTTTTATTGATTTCTGGAATATAAAGATATGTTAATGGTTTAGACAACATGTCATGATCACTTTGCATGTGCATGCACGTGCGTTTGCGAACAATGCGTTAAATGACAAAAAGTTAATATCATTGTAGTTTTTAAAATTCTTTTATGAAATCCTGCAAAACTAAGCATATTGAAATTTGCACAAAAAGGGAGTTGGAGAGCGTTTGGGGAACATCTGTAACGGTCCCCGTTACAATTAGAACTAGTTCATGTTCGCTATGCTTTTCTTTCCTGACCAGTACTTGAGTTTTGTGCATACTTTGTCCAGTATTGCTGTAAGCAGAAACAAAATTTTATCTAAAAGCATATATACAAAATACTGCAGAGCATTCAAATATTGTACAAATCAATATTAGCTGCAATTAAGAAAATACATATTAAGTAGTATTAAGTAAATTTTAAAATAAATCCTCAAAAATCCTACCAAACAATCCAAAGAGCATAGTTATGCTAGGCACGCCTAAATATCTTCTGACTGCTGAGTCGGACTGTGTAATTCTATTGACAAAATGCTCTCTGTGGATATGGTCTGTCTCTTTAGTCATAGTTTCCATATGACGTATATCCTTCATGGTCAGGTCTGTCTGCAGAGCAAAATCAACAAAATCTTCACTGCATCTAGGTTCCACAGACTGTTTGCTGTATATATGGTCGTGGTCTATAAAAATAATAACTTATATAATATATAATAAGTTTAATTGATATACATGTATACTACAAATTGCATATCACATTTCAGAGTTATGCTAATGAAATATCTGAGTCATCACCCTTACTGTATTTTCCACGAGAAATATCCTCAGTCTTGGAGCAAGGTTCCTTGATACAGGTTTCGTTTGATATCTGTTCTATGACACACTCATGTGCTACTGGAAGAGGTATATGTACACCAGCATTCCCCTCACATGAAACTGTGATATCCTCCATCTGAAAAAAATATATAATGCTTTGAAATGTCACATATCAATTTGAATGCATAATTCTCTTGGTATTAAACTTTATTATGCATTTATAATAATAATAAATATTTAATATTAAATTTAATATAGGCCTATATATCACATAGTATTATACCCAGTGAATAAACATGTATATTTTGTTAATATTAGATTTCTGAGTTCAAACAATTAGTTACATTGATGATACACAATATATAGCCTCATAGCATGCATAAATTTTTATGTAGGAATAAAATAATTTGTTTACCGGTAAACATTCCATTGGTGCACACTGGGTGGAATGAACTGACGTCTCCGCTACTGTAGCTGAATCAGACGAAGAATTGGTTGGTTGACGTTTCTCGATAGAGGTTGTTGTTCTGGACTGTTTGGCGACTTTATTGCGTGGAAATAACGTAGGGACAGGATTTTCTTCTGTTGGACAACCATCTATAAAATGTCGTGAACACACAGAATGGTAGCGTTTTGGGGCATACTTCTCATCCCTGAAAACCTGCTGCAGCCACCTCTTTCTCAACTTTGCCTTACGTTTAGCTCCTGGATATGGGTAGAACTGCACTCCCCTCATCCACGGATATTTAATTAAATTTGCCTTTTTCCTGCCATCTGATGTGCAACCCGGCACGGAACACCAATAATGACTTGGTTCGTCTCCATGCTTCTCACTTTTTCTCTTTGGGGGCTTGTTTTCGTCTGCTTCGTTACACTCCATTTTGTTTCGATGTCAACAAAATATGCCCTACATTTCAGCCTTATCACGTGACAGCGGTGTATAAAATCCGAACGTAAACCGCCATATCCAGAGTATCTCGAAAGTTCCGTAGTGAATAGTCAAAAACTAAAATCTTCGGAAAAAAAACTGTGACATAAAAAAGGAAGTGTTCATTCACAAAATAATATTTAATACACCTATGTGTATTGGGGCGTTGCGGGGGGGGGGGTAATGGGTTATTTGTTAATTAAAAAATGAAAGTGGGGATGGACCGATCATTTATCAAAACTTCTATCATAAATTAATAACAATAAACTGATCTTCGGAAAATAACGAGGGACCAAGCCACCTCGACCAACCCGATTTCCTAGCATACTACGTGGAATTGAAACTTTTGACATGTTCTTATTTTTGAATTAACCGGTTGGGAGTAAATACAGAATTTAGAACAGTTGTCATTCAAATATGTAAACTATTGAGAGTTCCAATATTCAAGAAAAAATGTTGGCTTAAAGTGATTTCTTTGTTTGAAAGAAGCAAATTGAAAGTGGGGTGGCTAATTGAAAGGGGGAGAGGGGCTAAACCAACAGAAAAAGTAAACCCCAATTTTCAATGTCTGTATTATATATATGTCTAAATTTACCAAAAAGGGGGCTAAGCCCCCTCGACCCCCCCCCCCCCCCCCCCCGGTTCCGACACCTATGCGTTATATCGTAATCATCAAGTAGATCGATGAGAGGTTAATAATATTTTTTAACTATAAATCTTAACTTTAATTTGTTTGTTTCATTGCGATTTACAAGCGGTACTAAAGATCTTATAATTAAAAAATGCAAATGTATGAAACGGACAGACGCACAGACAAACAGGAAGTTGACATCGGATCTACACCAAAATGTATCCCACCATATGACATGCCTTAGAGAAGACTGTGTTAAAGTTTCAAGCATCTACGACGAGTAGTTGCTCAGAAAACTGCGACGAAAATTTGTTATGTATGAAACGGACAGACGCACAGACAAACAGGAAGTTGATATCGGATTTGAACAAAAATGTATCCCACCATATGGCATGCCTCAGAGAAGATTGTGTTAAAATTTCAAGCATCTGCGATGAGTAGTTGCTGAGAAAACTGCGACGAAAATTTGTTATGTATGAAACGGGCAGACGCACAGACAAACAGGAAGTTGACATCGGCTTTCAGCAAAAATATATCGTACCATATGGCATTCCTGCGAGAAGTTTTTGTTAAAATTTCAAGCATCTACGATGAGTAGTTGCTGAGAAAACTGCGACGAAAATTTGTTTCGGACGGACACACAGACACACGGACAGACAGACAAACAAGGGTAAAACAGTATAGCCCCCGCTCCGAAGGTCACACTTTCTCCTGCTGTCTAAAACTAAGGACCTACAGCTGTATATACTACCTGCTAAAACTATGTACACATACACATGTATATCACATGAAAAAAACTCAATGTTTTATCGACACGACAGCACCTACATCTCTTTAAACAATGGGTTAGGCCGATGTATTATAAATTGATATAAGGCTTCATAAAGCAAATTTTACAAATGTGAGCATAGAAATGAAAGATTATACATCATTTTAAATATTTCTTTCACAAATCTCAAAGAAAGTGATAATAAGTTTCCTAGAGCCAATTCAAGTTGCCCTTTATTTTCAACACAGCTGTGTACTTATAGTAGCCCACAATGCATTGGGGCTCATTCAGCAGTAGGTAAAGTAAACAGATAGCTACATTTAATTTACATGCAAATTTATGCTGGCGTCAGAAAATCTAGTGGTCTCTACCTGTTACAAAACTCTAGAGTTGGACGTAGACTGAAGTGGTATACACTTACCCTTGACCGAGCAATAGTTATGAGATAGGTTACAGTTGTCAACGGACAAAAAGACAAACATACAGACAAGACAAAAAATATCCCCAGGGATCTTTCGATTCGGGGCATAAAAAGGCTTTAAAAGATAATAAAATAAATTTAAACAATCCCTTGATGTACTCGATACCTGTTTTTCCTGCTGTAGTATAATTCATTCCTTTAAAGGGGTCATTAGGGCAAACCACTGTTTTTTGATTCTGACCATTAGTTTCCCCTTGATGACCGATATAGAAATAAAAATGTTTAACATGTTAAAAAGGCTTTTAAATAAATTGAAATAAATTTAAGCAAATATTATCTCTAGCAAAACGTAAGTTGTTTATTGTCAACCTATTTTTAAAAGAAACCTACAGAGTACCTACGTATATGTCAGAAAAATAACGTTCAAGACTTCATTTGATTAATCTATTTTTTGTATAGTTTTTCCCCCAGCAAAATCAATGTATTAAATGCGTAAGGCATAATGCGTAATTTCAGGCTAGATTGTTGTCGGATTCTTTATGGACTACTTGTGCTTATTTCAGCTCGGTATATTAGTATAATTAAATGTTGAGCTTAATTAGTTTTTATTGCAAAAGAACTTCCGTTAAGAAGTGCCCAAGTGTAAAAGTAAGTTGTGGACTGTAAAAGTCAGCGCTCTTCGCAAAATTCCATTACTCTTGAATCATTAAATTGAAGTAGGAAGTTTTACAAAGCGGTACATGTATATATGCTACTCAGGGAAAGTGCAAATCGACATTCGACACACAGGTTTTGTGCCAATGTGGTTAAATGTCAATTTGCAATTAAGACATGCAATCTAACACTCTTAAACGTATACTTCTTATTCCATCAACCATTTTCCTAAATAAGGGGTTTCTAAACCAGATCTACAAATTAAAACATTTGAGGGAATAGACTGACTATAAGATGCTCTTTCTGATTGACCTTATCAAAGTTTTCATGAACAAAATAACGTTCGTTTTTAACAGAATAAAAAAAAAACAGTTAATATTTAAATTATTAGACAAACAAGGACATGGCTTGTCTCTCTTTAAAGTTAAAACTTTATGGAGATTATAACTGACTTTCAATATTTTCCTGCATTTTCTATTTTATTCGCTCTAATTGGTTATTCCGTCAAAGTCAGTCTATTCTGTTACGGGTTTATGTGGAGCGCAGTGGTATGAAAGAATTGTCAAGGAAGTCAACTGGCTTTATCTTCACCTTGAAATACGAAAAGAAATAACATGAAATATGATCCCAATGCATTATGTACAATTTTTTTTGACATTATAAAATTTACCGTCATCTTCATTTCTCCTTTTATTTCTTTCCTGAATATATAAAACGGTCATCGTTACAAAGCCGACGACAGCGACCAATAAGACGGACAAGACAACTGTTTTAACATAAAACCTCGATGTAATTTTTTGTGTTACGAGTCTTTCTTCTTCGAAATCTGATTCCAAATTCGGGATCTACATGAAAAAGGGAAACGAAGTCATGAAATTTTCCCCGGTTCATGTTTACATTTTGAACCAACGGTATTGCTCATATTTTGCTCATTAAATTTCGAAATATTTTCATGTTTCTTTATCATGTTTATTGTTTTACATTTATCACTTATTAACATTTCAACAAAAGAAAAAAACGATTTCATTTTGAATTGTAATTAAAATACAGGTTTTCATGCATTTGTTTTCCTTTAGGGGGTTTGGTAACGTTTTAAAATTACTTATGTTGTTCTTTAATAGTACACATAAAGTTTTATTTTTAAAAAAAAAAAAAAGAAGACTTTTGTCTTAATTAATTACCAGTTCTACATACGAATTTATGTCGTCTCTCTGGTGATATTCATTTTCATAATTCTGAAAGGATATTATATTAATTTGTATTTATACATATACATAGCAGAGTATTCTACTTACAATCACAGAGATTACATGTAAATAATTTATATATAGTGGATTCTTTAATACCTTTGAAACAAAGAAACTTTACGTTTTTTAATCTTAATCAAGAGCATGAAATTTACGCAAAGAGCCACGATCCTGTTTCTTTTATGACATTTATGTTATAGTCAGAATGATTTATGAAAAATATAAACAGTGTTTACCTGCCTACACCTGCCTTCCGCCATTATTCACCACGTTTCAGTTTTGATTTGTTTGTTTTGTTGACCTAAAGATAATTTTTTGTCTTATATTAGTCTTAGTTCATTTATATATTTTTTTATGAATTATTTCTATTTCACATAAATCTTTTTAAAGATATATATATGTCAATATAATTGATGAATTTGCGAGCTGAATAAATTAAAAAACACCAATTCTAAAGGCCCAATCACTTTTAGTAAAGAGAAAGAAAATATGATTTTCAAAAAGTTTCATAGAACAATTCAGTGTGAATATTATGCATATTTAAACATAAAAAATGCTATATTCTACAGCGCAGAAAAATTAAGTATTTTTTGAAATCATATAACAAAATGTTTTAGACTTTCAACTGCCCGCCTAGATATAATTGGATTTGAGAAATAAGTTTTCAAAAGTGGACATTAATTAAAGTTAAAAAAATTATCCAAAAAAAAACAACAAAAAACAACAACAACAACAACAACAAACAAAATTTTTATGTACTTACATAAAGTTTGAGAAAAGGCTCCTCAGTCTAAAATTAAATGTTTTCAAAGCATTTGTTCTTGGGCACTTCAGTAAGTTGTAACTTTATTTTTCATGAGTAACTTTATTTAATATAAGAGGATTTAGACGAAAAGGGTTTAGATATGTTTCCTTGTTTTTAAAATAAGTGTCAATTTCAACAAGAAAAATTATTGGGAAAGTTGAAATTGAATGAACTCAAAAGTATACGAAATTATTTCACCGAATATTGCATTGGCTGTTGAGTTCAAATTTAACATGAACAGTTTTAAGTGGAGCCAAAGTAACTATGAGCTTGATTGCTATTTGTTAAATACATAATTTATAGTTTCCCTTTCTTATCTACTTTAAGTCATGTCAAGTCCAAAAACAATATATATACGTGACTGACAATCTTCATCAAAATTATATAATCTAATATACGAGTGTTGTTCGAAAAGTTCGTGGACTGATGCGATAAAATTAATACTATGATGTCTATGTTTACAAATTTTTTTAAGGAACATTAAACAACAAAACTTAAAGAAATGATGAAAATTTTAGCTTGATACCTTGAATATTTATCAAATTATCCTAAAGTTAAAAAAAGACATAACATTATCAACTGGCACTGTCGCCATTTTGTTTCATGTTTTTTCGAGGTCCGCATTTTCCACACCATACACTCATCTTGATTTATTGGAGTTAATTAAAGATTTAAACCGATCTTTTTATTTGATTTTACAATGAACAACTGAATTCAATGCATATAATATTGTAAATATATCTATACATAGTAAAAACCCCAGATAAGTTTGAATGGTCTAGAAGCCGACTATTTACATCTAATTTTTTTTCCGAGTCTTGGTTCACCTGGTTCAAAACTGTCATCATGGTAAATGTTGGTATTTGTTTAGCGTCCATCTTTCTTACTGACACGAAGATTGCAAATTTATATTTATACTCGGCACTATAGCAGGCAGTAGCATCGTTTTTGAAAGATGTGGGGGGCAACCACAGAATTTTTTTTTTACTTGCCTGAAAAAAGTTGACAAGCAAAAAAAAAAAGATATTGCCGAGAATCCTATTTCGTGGGGGGGAGGGGGGGATGGCTTACTTCCTTTCATTTACAATTTTTTGCATACAATAATACATTTCCTTGATAACATTATACTGTGGTAAGAAGTGGGGGGGGGGGAACCAACCTTCCAATAGACATTTTCAATAGTAAAGGTAGTATTGGGAAAAAAGTGGGGGGGGGGGGGCAGGCCCCCTCGCCCCCCCCCCCTCACCTGTTGCTAGAAGAGCATTTTAGCAGCGAAGGCTCTCTTTTGTTCCAACTTCCCCTACTGCGACTCGGGTCCTCGGTTTGGTAGATTTCATACTTTTGCCCGTTTTCCACATCCCACAATGGATTTAAACCCATCGAGGGTCCTTACTCCGCAAGTCTAGAGCAGGCGTTCTTACTACTGCGCCACGCTGACATCTAATTAAACCTTATTTTCCTTTAAAAGTTAAGCGCTCTCAAAATAGGAGTAGTGGGGAAGAGGTGGCCCTAATAGAGGGCATCAAAGAACGTGCCGACACGTTGTTTGGGTCTTTGAAACGAAGTGGAACGAGGGGGGAAACTAAAGGAGTGGCAGTGCATTGCCTACGCTCTGCACTCGTAAGAATGATTGTTAAATTGTCCTGGATAGTAAATACAAATGTACAAGTCTATCAAGCATTACTGTACTACATATTTATTTTTATACTTTGGGTTTTTAAAATCTATTTTTGGAACAATAAAACGGAATACACGTTCAGTTCAGATTTTTGTCTGAAATCATGAAGTTCTTGAAAAAAAATATGTTAATATTACGAATCATATGGTGAGAACTCATTACACGGGAAGCTTTTTTCTTTGATCGTGTCAGCCCTGAGATGCAGGGAGGGACGCTACCTACAGGATTTTTTTTTCAAAATGTACAAGATGTTACGTATATGTGAGAAAAAACATTGGAGCCATTGGTGACTTTGACCAAATAATGAAAATATTTAGGAAAAATTTCAAAGTTCTATTTGGCAAAAGATTCTCAGAAAAGAAAGCCCCCCCCCCCTGTCTTGAATATCACACTGTATATGCTAGACTGGCCATTGCAAAAAAAATTGATATATAAGGAAGATTTAATAAATAAAGAGATATGTTCTGTACACTGAAAAATGATTTACTGGTAATCGGTATGCATTTTTACTTTTTAGACTTAATTTGTTGTAAATAATGCATAAAAAGTGTAAATCTTTATATAGACTTTTTTTAAGATGTTACTTTTTTTTCATCAGCCTTTATTAATCTACATATACATTTTCACCCAATTTTAATGCTTGAGAATGGAATTAAGTTTGCTTTGTAGTAAACTCAAATATTTAAGGAATGACTCTAATTCCTCATCGCGAAGCGGATTAAAAAAAAGCGTAAACTGACCAAAACCAGATTATACTCGATAATTTGGCCAAGAATTAAAGTCATTCCTTATAATTTATTTTTAAAATAAATAAAACTTAAAGCCCTATTTGGATTTAAAATTGTGCTTCTCTTAATGAGTTCAAATTTACCGCGCAATAAATACAACCTTAGTAACGGAAGTGATGGGAAGCGAGGGGAGGTAATAACTGATACATAGATCTAGCAGCCATGATGTCTGTTTACATGAGGTAAGATCGAGTAACTGTTTAAAGTTAAAAGTATATTTATTTAATCTGGAATTTCCCATGGATTCCGAGGACTGGAAATGAGGGGATTGCATGGATAAGATGATTAAGTTGGTCGTCAAAGGGGTGTGTCCCCATACCAAACCAGATTATACAAAATAATTTGCGTTCCTTTTTGGAAATCAACCAATGAGAGGCGAGAATAAAAACAAAATTAAATTATTTGAGAATAAAAGAGAGTTTGAGAATTTTCATTTTGCTCAACTTTTTTTACGACGGCCGCTGAGTCTGAGAATTTAGGATTTGAGAAAATTCTCAGACTTAAGTATGTTTTATGACGGCGGACCCTGGTAGTCTCTATACTTGTAATAGATAGGTCGTACGTCAGTCATATCTGTCGAGTAGCTTATCCTACTACAATTAAAAATATATTATTGGCAAAGTCAAAGGATAAAACACAAGTTCTACAACTATCCTCCTTATTCAGAATTTTATAAATTTGCAGTAATACATGTACAGAACAATTAATTTCAGTGACGAATCAATAAGTAGTGTCAAAGACTGAAAAAATCTTTATATGCAAAGTATAATTCTATATATAAAAATATGTAGTAGTTATCCCATATAATACTGTTGGTTACGTTTAAAAAATTACATTATTTTATAAAAAATATAATTAACTTAAATAAATTTACGATTAATAAATGTTTGTTTGATTCTTCTTTATTGTCACTCATATGGAGACGCCACCACTTGACGGGGAGTGCTGAAAATTATGTCCTATACGCTGCATTTCATTTACGGAAATATGCATAGCATTTCCCACATTTTTTTTTTCATTTCCGACATATTTTTTCTTCATTTCCGGAATTTACCTGTGCGAAGTTTAGAAGTATTTATTGAAATATAAAGATAAAAAAAATAAAAATCCCTCTTTGCATATATGCATACTTGTAGTACTAAATCTACCTGGAAGAGTTCAATGAGCATAAAACTTTTTTTCAATATATTTAATGTGTACTAAATTAATGTCAGTGACAGCAGCAAAATTATGTGGAAGACACGTGATGTACACTGTAACTATCTAATCGAGTTTTTACTCCGGTTGATAACGCATTATCCTGCTTTACACAGTACTAATTTTTCTGCGTCACATCCAAAGGTACTATCTGAAAAATGTCAATAATAAAAACTACAAAATGTCGTCAATGACAAGTTAATCAAAACAAAAAATTTCGGAAATGAAATGCAGCCGTCCTATACTCGGCACTTACAGCTTTTGAGCAGTGAGGAATCTTTTTCGTTCAAGCACCTTGTGCGACACGGGACCTCGGTTTATACAGCCTAATCCAAAGGACCGGTATCCACGTCCCAAACTTGGATTCGAACGAACGACTCTTATGCCGATAGGACAAGTCGGCGCATTTCGTTTTTTTTTTGCTGAAGACTATGTCGGCTACAAAGGTCAGGGGTTCTAGTGCTAGGGCGGGGCTAAGTAGATTATAAAGTGAAATGTATTATTTGTTTGAATTTCTTCTTCTATACTCCTGAGCATTAAATAGACTAACCAGGTGCATAGTTATGTTGAAGAAGGATGCTAAAATTTTGAATATCATGGACCCAGGGTCAGGGATCTAGTGTTAGTGCAGGGCTTATCTATTAATAAATTTTGCAAAAAAACTCCGAAACAGGTGCACCAGAGTTCCTCCTTACTCCTCTAATAGTAAACTACTTATAAGATGATGTCCGTAAACTATATTTACATTTCAGTTGGATAGTAAGAATCGTACATAAAATTAAAAGTCTACTAATTTTTCTAAAAACAGCCAAGAAATAGCATCCACGTGAGTATGGTGG